TTTGTTAAAGAGATTGATTTAAGCTCACCATTTGGATCTAAGATAAGTTTGGATTCTATCCATAAGGCTTCATCCTTGTCCATCCATTCTTTAGCAACGGCATACAAGTTCTTAATACATTCTAGCCATTGGCGTTACTCTTTTTGTTCATCCTTGTGGCCTTCATGATTCCTATTCTTTGGTTGTCTTAGTAGATTTCTAGGGTCATCATGATACTTAGGAGAGAGAGAGCATAAGAGGGATCATCGGGGTCAAGGATGGGTTCAGATGAGACATCTAATGTGGACGTAGAAGGGGAGAGGATAGGAATGGCTTCTAGATGGCTCAGCTCTCCTTCTATGACATTACTTGAAATGTCATCCTTGAATTCTTCCTAATGTCCTATATGGGAATAAGGACACTTTCTAAGAGATCCCTTATTGAGAGGATTTAAATTATATTCGCTCAAAGGTCTCTTATGAAGATGAGAATTTAATGTTATCCCAAAATCAGCACCAAACAGGTCATCCTTAATTTAAACAGGGATTTTCAAAGGTGGAATTCCTTCTTCTCTTGGGGATTTTGGGATATTGGTGGTTCAGGATTGATAGCTAAATCTTAGGATTGAAGTGGTTGTAATTTGACTATCAGAACTTTCTCTTCTTGATCGGAAGATGATTTTTTCTCTTTCTGGAGAAGTTCATTAGGAATACTAGTGCAGGGAGTCTTTCCACTAATTCTATCAAGCATAGCCCTTGCTTCACTAGTAGACAAATGAAGGAAAGCTCCTCTAGAGGCTGCATCAAGGGATTCCATGGAATCCTTGCTAAGACCCATATAAAAAATTGAAGAAGTTCAAGGTCTTGAATGGCAAGGTCTGGGCCAGTGATGATGAGTTCATTAAAATCATCCCACGATGTACGAAGAGATTCTTCTTCTAGTTATCTAAAATTTAGAACATCTTTCCTAAGGCTAACCACTTTAGAGATGGGAAAGAAACGTAAACAAAATTTAGAGCATAACGTTTCTCAATCTCCTTGCATACTTCCTATGGTTTGACTATACCAATGTTTAGCTCTTTCCGTCAAAAAGAACAGAAACAACTTCCATCTTATGGTTTTGTCAGACATGCCAGCGATACGTAAGCATGCACAGGTCTGTTCAAACTCTTGTAGGTGTGAGTATAGGTTTTTGTTGCCTTCTCCCAAGAAGGATTTATCCGGTATCAATTTTATAAAACACAGGCACAACTCATAGCCAGGTGTTAGGATAGGCTCTGAAGATTTTGGTGGCTTTAAGCTTATGCTCGTAGGTTTATCATATTGATAGATAGGAGTGCAAAACATGCTAAAAGAAAAAGTAAAATAAAAGAAAGAGTAAAAGATAAAATGTTAAGCTAGGCTCAAAGTTAATGCAGCAACCGTTTCCCTGGCAATGGCGTGAGAAAGCTTGTTGGTATATTTAACGCACACAGATAAATCCGTAAGCGCACGAATACCGCTGTAGCTTTCACTCGGAAGTATTTCAAGTATCGTATCCACAAGAAAATGTGTGAGACTAACTACGATCTAACTTAACTAGGGGTAGCAACAAGGTTGAGATAAATAGGAGCGTAGAGAGGAAAAATAAGGTTCTCTAGTTCTGATTTAGGTAAGCTATTTCTTCTACGATTTATTTGGGGACATTACTAGGGAAAGACACCAGCAGAGAATATTTTCCTTCGTAACCGCGTCCTACTTGCGCCTACAGACGGTCGGTGGACTACAAAGGATCAACGAAGTTATATAGTACATGCTATATAGAATTGATGTCACACACGCGATCTATCACCATCCAAAATACAGGGTGCATCCACGATTAACCTAACTCTAAGCACCACGCTTACACTTATGATTAATACTTTAACCTAGAGCGTCTATAAATTAGAGCACTCAAAGGAGAGTCATGATCCTGATGAACAATATAAACAATTACTTACTTGAATCAGAAGTTGATTACCATAGAAATCTCGAAGGCAAGATCAAGTAGAACTTGGATCCGCCAAGGTACAAGCCATAGAGAGAGCACCAACAGGCCGGCACCTCCTCCAAACTCTTCCCTCACTCTCTATCTCACTATTATTTACAAGACTGGATCCTATAGATGACTAATCTTCTCTTGATAGCTGGCTCTGATCCTCATGATATGAATTAGGGTTTTAGGATGGCACCAGGGAGGGTGGTAGGGGCTGGTATATATAGGGCGGAGCTTCCAACGTGAGACATTAGATCAAACCAACATAAAGGAAGACATAGATGCAACCTAGGAGGCGGTGGAGAACCGACATTGTGACACGGAGGCTGATAGGTGGGCCTAGGGGCTGGGCAGCCTACAGGTGGGGCCAATCGGCCCCACATGACAGCCCCTCAGGGTCTGCTTCAATGGAGAGCCTCCTGGAGTCTTCTAGAATCTTCCCACGCTGTTTACGGGGCAAAATTCTGTAATTTTCATTGACGAATAGGTCCCCCATAACGATTTTCTGGATAAACTCTGCTGAAAACACAGATTCACCAAAACTCGTTGAATTTATTAGTTTAAACTCCTATACCTTTGTTTGGTGATAGAATTAAGTATAAATACAGATTATGTTAACGGTTTATAATTGATGTTAGTGATCGTCAACACCACCCCTACTTAGCGACATGCAAGCCACCAGTCACCGCGGACGAGGGCCGCAATCACTAAGTCTCTCCATCTCAGATAAATATGGATTGGTTTTGTCTCCTTGGCTCCTCCGTGTTAAAAAAACGCCCCACCCCGCACGCCCGCGCCCGCTGCGTCCACCCCGAAATACGAATTGTTTTCCGACATAGATTCGTTCCATGGCAACTATGCTTTGCCCAAGTATGCCAAGCGCAACGCCATGGAGATGGCCGGCAACTACTCTGCTTTGCCTAGCGCCAGGAGGACAGGGATGGCGTCTACTACGTAGATAACAACAACACCTACTTCAACGAGGGCATCACCTCCCCCTGGTCGCTGACCTCGCTGGCATGATGTCCGCGGAGGCGCTCCAACTCGACGTCACCTTCGACGCTAGCGTCGGCGCCGCCATCCGCGACGTGCTGGCGTAGCATGGCCGCGACGACGTGCTGCTCAACAATGTCGGTGTTGAGGGCATGGGCCCACTCGCGGAGCTGCACGCCGACGCCGTGTCGCATGCCCTCGACGTCAAATTCCTAGGCCAGGTCCGCACCGTGCGCTGTGCGCACCGTCGCAGCCCACATAGCAGCGCACGGATCCAAACGATGAAGGCCACGGACACCGGCGTACTTCGCCAGGCACGTGGGCAAGAACATGACTCGGTCATGGATGTTGATGGCCACCACGTGGCAGCCGAGAACCGTGAAGGAATGTCAGTACTCGTACCCGATCCCGCCCATGGTGCACCCCTTGATGATCACAACTAGCTGCGTGCTGTTAAGCTTGGGAAAAATACCCGATACCCATTATCCAAATCCAAAATACCCAAACCCACAATACCCGATCTAGAATTCAGACACTGATTATTATTACCCGATATTATTTCGGGTAATACCTCGTGGTACCCGAAGTCCCGAACTACCCTAACACTGAGTTGCCGCTCGCCAGACACCAGAGGCATGCCCGAGCCCAACAACCAACAGGCCAACATCCTTGGACCCCCAGCGGCCCATGACCGCAACCCCCACTCCCTCACCCTGTCTCGCTCCTTCAATCCCTCATCCTGTCTCGCACTCTCCCAAAAACCTAGCCGCCGCCTCTAGGTTCCACCGCTCCAGTCCACCGAAGGCGCGTCGGCGTGGGGTCATCAAGGAATCGCGCCGCACGTGGATGGCGCCCTCACCACGTGTGCCTGCCGCCTTCTGCCCTCTGCCCCTCTCTCACTTCGTCTCCGACGCGTGCTAGGCGGTCAGGCCACCGCGCGTCGTCCTCTGCCCCTCTCTCACTTTGTCTCCGACGTGTGGCCGCTCGCCGAGAGTGACCGCCCGCACCCGCCGAGAGCGACCTCCTGCAGCTTCATGCAGCTGAGCCCCACCTGATGCCTCGACACGTGAGAAAGCCATGCCGCTACATGTGCTTCTGCGTCCCCAGCGTCCGAATCTTGGGTAGATTGGGTATACCCGAACCCGTACCCGAATTATCGGGTACCCGAAATATCGGGTAGTGTTTTTCGGGTTGAATATTGGGTATTGATTCCTATTACCCGAATTTCAGAATACCCGAACTACTTGACCTGAAAATTTTGGGTTACCCGAATGCCTAGACTGACTTGCTGTCCTGCTGCTACTGGCCCACGTTGTCGCCAGGTCGCCATGGGGTGGGGTGCGAGAGGCATAGGAGCCATGGCAAAGTGACAAGCTTCAACTTGGACCATGTCACTGGAGAGAAGAGTAATTTAGTTTTGAAAGTTGCATTACTTGATTGTGCCAAAGGTTTCAGTAAAGACCATAATATATGCAAGAGAATGATGGAATGATCAAAGTGTGTTGGTTCATTAGTTTATTAAAGTGTCGTGCATTACAAACAATGATTTGAAATAGAATTCAAATTCTATTTTTCCATGGGTCGCACGGGCATTTATGTAGTTACAGAAAAAATGTATTAAATAAGTTATGGTAAAAAGATATAGTTACATAAGTTTTGTTTGGTAAAATATTAAGTACAACTTTGTAGCTTCTATAAAAATAAAAAATTACAAAAACGAATAGTATCGGCCATTTCCCCTACTTTCCTCTACGTTTTCTCAAGTGGTCATGGTAGAGACAAAATCAGTCACCGATAGTTATAAAGATGGTATCCTTCTAAATGGGATAAACATAGCGCGGCCGATCAGATGGTGGATTGGTGGTTGGCTCGCTAATTAGCAGGCCCGTCGAGCATCGCACGCGCACCGCCAGTCGCGGCACGTCAAAGTACTCCGAGCCGCCAGTCCGCCACGCCTCCAACCCGACCGACCAGAGTCCACAGAGCAGCACCCCGATCGGGCGCTGCGAATTCCCATGCCGCGCACGGTGGCCGTAGTCGGCGCGGGCCTCCACGTCGCGGTTTTCGAGAAGTCGGGTCGCGCGGGGGGCACCTGGGCGTACGACCCGCGCGCGGACGCCGACGACCCGCTGAGCCGCGACCCGGGCGCCGTGCACGGAAGCCTCTACGCGTCGCTGCGCACAGACCTGCCGTGCGACCTCATGGGCTTCTCGGTCTTCGCGGGCGACGCGCGCGCGTTCCCGGGCCACCGGGAGGTGCTCGCGTTCCTCGACGCCTTCTCTGAGGAGTCCGGCGTCGCCGCGCGCGTCAGGCTCCGCTCCGAGGTGCTGCGTGTGGCTCCCCTCGGCCAGGTGGAGCGGTGGGTGGTCGCGTGGCGCGGGGAGGACAGCGAGGTGGAGGAGGAGGTGTTCGACGCGGTCGTCGTCTGCAACGGCCACTGGCCGGTGACCATGGTGCCCAACATTCGAGATGACATCTCCTAGTTTCCCCCTTTTTCTTTCTCATCCAAGACAATGGAATTTCAATTTCAAGGAAAAAACAATCTAGCAATGCTTCTGTCGGCTGTCGCAGGAATTAACAGTTGGAGTGCAAAACAAATTCACAGCCACAACTATCGCACCCCCGAACCGTTTCGGGATCAGGTATTTCTCCTCTGGCTATTTGATTCCTGCACTCTGAAAGATTTCATCAGTTATTCCGGTGTGCCACTCTCGAGAGCTGCAGAATGTTGTGGTTGTAGGATTCTCAGCCAATGGAATTGACATGGGTTTAGAGATCTCACAGATCGCCAAGGAAGTGCACGTAGCAGACAGGTACTCGAAGGATAGGTTGGGAAAGATTGAGCTCTACCAGGGTTGGTAGGATTGAGCTCAAACTGGTTTCTCTGTCCTGTACCTATCATCTCTTTTCTGCCTTGCATTTCGTATGATTGTAAAAGCCAGGCATGAAACTGCCCCCAGGTATCGCTACCATTTCCCGTTTCTCGACCTGGATGGGCTCACCGTCGACGACAACCGTGTCGGACCACTGTACAAGCACGTCTTCCCCCCAAAGTATGCGCCGAATCTGTCCTTTGTTGGGCTACCATATAAGGTACAGCGCTTCTTCAATGAAATCCATACTATGACAAAGCCAAATGTTCAGACTACTGGTTAATTACATATTGTTCAGACTTCAGACAACACGACATCAGCAGGCATGTGGAGTATAACTGCGAATCCAAAATGTTGTGAGTGCCTTTCCAGACACTGGAGCAGGAGTCCAAGTGGGTCGCGGCCGTGCTGTCGGGGCGGGGCACGCTGCCAAGCGAGGAGGACATGATGGCGGCCGTGAGGGAGCACTACCGGCTGATGGAGGAGGCCGGGAGGCCGAAGCGCCACACGCACACACTGTCGCCTCAGTGGGTAAGACAACGCTGGCACCGTGTGCGTGTGTGTGTTATCGGCCGGACTCTGCCTGAAACTGTGTGCGCTTTGATTTGCGATCCGACCAGGCGGAGCAGGTCGGCGAGCCCACACTGGAGCCGTGGAAGTGCGAGATGTTCGATAGGGTGCTTGGGAGCATCTTCACGCTAGAGGAGGCCTACCGAGATCGCTGGGAACAAGAGAGAAGACAGAGACTCTGGCACTGGTGCGCATTAGCAATTAGGATCACAACGAGCTCCATCGTGTAACAGAACCTGCAACATTGCGGCAATCTGACGCCGTCGTGTCGTGATCATACTCTCATGATACTTTACTCCGTTGTGTGATCTTCACGGAAGCAATTTGACACCACAGAACAGGAATAAAAAAATATATTCCTTATTTTCAGGGACGAAGCCAGAAAAAATTTTAGGAGAAGCTAAACAGGGACGAAGCTAGGAAAAAATTTAGACCCGACTGAACAAAAGTGCTACACCGACTTAAAAACATTGGTTAACGATGAAATTCATAAAATACATCATGAAAAATAAAGGAAGCTGTTCATTCATACCGAAAGGCCAAATTACGAAACTAATAGACGGCGCTTGAGTGCTTGACGTTGACACACATTATTCATCCGAAGTAGCAATCTACACAAATAGACATAATTGATTAGTCAAACATATTTGGACCGCCAAATTATGAATTTAGAAGAGAATAGAGCATACCACTAATTTTTTAAGGCAATAACATACGACGCTTTTTCATATCTTGAAACCGCTTTTTGATCTTTTCATTATCAATCTTTCTAAATTTCTCCTTCTCATTATAGCATATCATCAAGTCATTGAGCCAGTCATCACCCATTTTACTACGCAAATCTGTCTTTATAATAGACATGGCTGAAAATATCCTTTCAACTGAAGCCGTTGTCACCGATAGTATCAAGGTTAGCTCAATGAGACGATAAACCAATTTATAAGATTCGTGCATTTTAGTCTTCACCATAATTTCAGCAACTTTTTCAAGTTCAGTGCATCCAAGAAATTCTGGAGTTCTTCTAGCACGGTTCACAAACTGTCTAAGTTGATTTGGCAAAACAATAAGTTCACCAATGTCAAAATCCTCAGCATAAATTTCAGCAAGCCTCACAAGTTTGTCCATATCAAAATTAGAGAAGGAGTTCCTTGGGTTAAAAGCAGCCATACATACTAATAACTCTGAACTAATTTCACTAAACCGATGATTCAACTCCGTCAAGATGGCATCAATGGCGACAAGAAAAATCTCAACATGATAGTAATGCATGTTTGTTACCTTTTGCTTTCTTCGTCTAGATGTCCCTCTAACATTTATTTCCTTACCCATATCTGGCACTTCAATCTCATTCTTCTCACATAATGTTTTCACTTTTTTGAGTAATGGCTCCCATCCATTTTCCCTCATATCCTGCAAGCTATCTTTCACATCCGTGATCAAATGCATTGCTTCAACTATGTCTTGATCCTTCCTTTGCAAAGCATGTGACAAAATATCTGTCATGCTCAACAATTCTATCATCAAATGCAGGATGAACACAAAATCAAAGCTCTCCATTTTTCCAATTAAACTTAAAGCTCCACCATTACATGTTGGTTTAATAGAATCTTTCTTCACTATCTCAAGGACATCTATGATAGCCTCCCACATGACCAAAATGCGAAGCAAAGTTTTAAGATGTGAACCCCATCTAGTATCTCCAGGCCTAGCTAGGCTGCTTTCTTGATTTAAACCTCTTCCAGTCATAATCTCACCATTCTCAATCTTTTCTAGCAACACATCATGATGCTTTGCAAGCAAGGCATCTTTTCTCATGCAACTTGCACCCACATTGTTGATTATTAAAGGAATATAGTTAAAGAAATATGCAATGTCTGCACTAAAAGTCGAAACGGTAACAACCACTAGTTGCAATTGATGGGCAAAACAATGCACATAGAAAGCATAAGGATTTTCATCACGAATCAATTTTTGCACCCCATTAAATTCACCTCTCATATTAGAAGCTCCATCATACCCTTGCCCACGGAGCATAGAGATAGACAAATTGTGACTTGAAAGCATACTAACCAAAGCTTCTTTCAATGCAATAGCTGTACAACTCTGAACATGCTGAAGTCCAAGAAATCTCTCCATCACTTTCCCTTCATCATTGACAAACCTACACGCCACATTTGTTTATGTGTTAGTATAATTGTAGAAATAATTATAAAAAATCTATGCACAAAATTGCAATTGTAAAGTACTAACCTTAGAATCACTGCCATTTGCTCTTTTATTGATACATCTCGAGACTCATCAATAAGCACCGAGAATTTTCTACCTCGAATCTCATCCATAATGACAGCTATGACTTCCTCTGCACAAGCTTTTGCAAGGTCCTTTTGTATATCAGGAGATAACATTTGGCAATTTTTAGAACCTTTGTCATATGCGTCCTTCACAATCTCAACCTTATCTTTATACCAATCAACCATCTCTCTGAATGTACCCTTATTGAGGGAAGTAGAACTCTCATCATCTCCACGAAAAGGTTGCCCTTGTGATATGAGAAATCTTGCAACATCTAAAGAAGATGTCAAACGAATCTCATATCGTTTTTCTTCCTCCGTGCTTACCTCAACTAATTTTCGACCCACACTTGTCCTTTGGTTCATAAAGTCATCACACTTCAGCCTAGCATCTACATGAGTCTTGCAAGCACTGTGCTTACTAAAAGTATCCTTAGCTTTTTTCCAATTCACATAACCTTGATGTGCAAAGACAGAACTCCCAAATTTTTCAGGCTTTCCCGAATTAAAGAAGAGATAACAATATAAGCAAAAAACTGCATCCTTGGACTCACTATATTCTAGCCAATCAAATTCATCAAACCAAGTCTTTTGAAATGATCTCCATTGACCACCAATCCATTTACTAGAAAATTGAAATTCACGAGGTTGGGTTGGACCACTCAAAGCATATGCTCTCTTTACTTGGTCTCTAATTTCAGGTTCATAATCATTAATTGGTTTGCGATTTCCAGGGTCTGCAATCATGTTCGATTGACTAAACTCTGCTCTAGGTTTCTTTGGTTGAGTTGTGCTCTCATTAGTTGATGGACCACTACCACTAGAACTTGAAAAGTAATTGCGCAGAGTTCTTTTCGACGACATACTGAAAATTTAAAAATTAAAATCCATCAAGAATCAAACCATTTTTCAATCACAGTCACAGACTTAATTTCATAATTAAAAAATCACCGGCTGCTCGCTTGCTCGACGCTGCTTCTACCGCTGCTCCTACCGAGTCAAAAAGAAAACACTGCAAGTCTGCAAGTCTGCAATCACATCGTCCTCAGTAGTCACTAGTCAAGATTCAGGGATCACGATCTTTATAAGATTGATGATAGTAGGTAGTAGTAGTAGATGACCCGCTCAGCTGCTCTGCTCAGACGTTTGATGCCCGGCCGGCCGGCCGGCTACGCGATCAGCGAGGCGAGCGCCTGCAGCTCGAAGAAGCCGCCGGCACCGCAGCTCCAGTCTCCAGACGCGGACACGGACGCGGCATACATCTGGCGCAGCATATGGGCGCCGCTAGCAGCGGGCGAGGCGGCGCGCGAGGGCGCCGCCTCGGCTCGCTGCAAGCGCGGCGTTGGTGAGGCGGACCAGCGCGCGCTGGCTCAGACGCCGCGTGGAGCAGCAGCAAGGTCGCGGTTGCCGGCGTGGAGGCGGCGGCGCGCCCCCGGCTCCTCCAGTGCCGCTTTCGATTCGGCGCCAGAGCCGACGCGATGCGTGCTCGATGCGGATGCGGACGGCCGCCAGAGGCCAAACGATGTCTTCTGCTCATTGCCGCTTTCCTTCTTTGGGCTTAGCGTCTTGGCGTCTTTGGAGCCCGCCGAGAGCCACGTAGAAGCAGCCGCCGCCGCCTCCAGTCTCGAGTCGCCGATTCGGTTGGGCTTCTAACTTCTAACCAACTGAGCTATTTTCTCTTTCAGCCCAACAAGGAATAGAGGCTTTTTTATCTTCTCTTAATCTCTTAGCCCCTCCTACCTATTATATATATGCATAAAATTTAAAAAAAAACTTAGGAGGCTCCACTTGTCTGGGATCGGGAGGGGGGGCTAGAGCCCCCCAGCCCCACCGTTGCCTTCGTCGCTGCTTATTTTTGTTTAGGAGGGAATAAAACCGTGTTTTTTTTGAATAAAACCGTGTTTGCAATGGTCATATTCCTCTTGGGCCTCATATCCCACTTGACATCTGTGTGTCCATGAGATTGCTTATGGCCCATGGTCTATCCACTGCGTTTCCGGCCCGTCATCCGTTGCGCGCTGTTCGTGCGGGTCGTGAATAAGCCTCGTGAATACTAACCCTGATACATGTGGCATGGGACATTTTCTCGATTGCCATGGTGGTTGCCCAGTTGGGCCTTGGGCTTGGGAGAGGGGGAAAGTCACATCCCTAGAAAGATGGGAGGCTAACGTCGACCGGTTTGTCTAGACAATACATCGATCGGGTCTACAGTGATTTTTTAACACATATTTTAAACTATTTTTAAAACTGACACCGTTTAATTTTTTTTTTCAAAACTAACACTTTTGGACGCGCCTGTTTGTACGGCGTGGCTAATTCACATTGTCGCGCCATGCATGGAGGCGCGGCAGGGGGCAATCAACGGCTACGGCGATCGCTGACGTGGTAGGGCTGACGCGCCTCCATGCATGGCGCGGCGGGGCTGCCGCGCCACTCATCACGGAGCGGGGCTGCCGCGCCACGTATCACGGCGCAGCAGCCTCATGTACCCGGCCTCACTTTCCTTTCTCTCTCTCTCTCTCACTCACTCACTCTAACGCCATGCATCACCGCCGGCACGACTCCCGCCCGCCTAGCCGCCACCACGAAGCGCCCGCCCGGCGAGCCCGCGGCCGCCATGCCCGTCGCGCCCCACCCAGTGTGCCCCCCGCCGTGCCACCCCCTCCTCGCCCACCGCCCCAAGGCCGCCTCCGCCTGCACCTCTACCTCCACTGCCACCGCCGCGCCCTCCACCTCATGGTCCTCTTCCACAGAGCAGCCCCTTAAGCCCCGCCCGTGCCTCCCGCGCCAGAGCCCCGCGTCGAGGCCCAGGCCCAACCCCGCCCACCTCCCCGCCCTCAGCGCCGCCATCGAGCAGCACGCGGCGGCGGGCCGCCACGCGGAGGCGCTCGACCTGTTCCGCCTCGCCCGCGCGGGGGCTCCCTTCACGCCGCTCCCGG